ATCATTTTGGGGATGTATTCACTCCAATTTCGTTTAAAGTGATGAAGGACTGGTAGTCGAATTCTCCCACGATGCGATGAGTAGAGCTGACGTTTACATTCAATTTCACAGAGCCTTGCTATCCCAAAAGTTGTTCTCATCCAGGCTCTGTGAAATTGAGTGGAAACTTTAGCCCTACTCATCAGATTGTCGGAAGATTCTACTACCCTAAGCCAAATTGGGTGAATACATCTCATACTACTGATTTACTGATAGTCTCATAACTCTACTTACATACGAAAAATATTATTTTGGGTTTAAAAGTACACTTTCGAGACTACCGGTAGTCGATTTACTTGCATAGAATTGCCGTGGCAAGTCAGGATTTATGACACTATTATTCCAGTCTTCTTTACTAAAATGAACACAGTGACAAACGGTATTCTCAAGATCCTCTTCGGCTAGTTCTTGAGGCTTCACTATCCTAGACCGTTGGATTTCAGTTCGCCACCTTCTTGGCCTTGGAGATTGTTGAATTACTGGAAAGTGATTAATTCATTCCGATTGGTATTTCGGGCTATTGTTAAATTGTAAATAAAAAAACGATATCCGTTTTGAACGAATTTTCTGAAGTGACATTACTTTAGGCTGGTGCCTGTCTTTTTTCAGACAATTGGTATAAACTATAATTCAGATTATATAATCTATTTGCCTCGCAAAGAGTTTTGATAAAAACTTAATCAGCCTAGGCTGTAGAATGTGATTTAAGGATTGAAGGCCAGTGAATCTCACCAAGCTTTGCCTTCCAAAAAGCACTATCTTCCCGACTGAACTGGAGTTTGGATCTCGATTATGTCAGTTGCACAGGACCTGGGTTCGAGTCCAGTTTGGGAGGCGGATGAGACCTGGGCTTGGTCGTTGAAGAAAAAAGGCTTTTTGAGAGGCTAATTTTAGTTTAATTAAACCCGGTTGTAGACAAACTTCAAAAGCATTCCTTAAATCCCCTCAATTGACCCATGTTGAATGAGTTCTTGTGTGAACCTAAGCAAGAGTTTAGAAAGACGCTATGAAAACTTACGATTATAGAGTGTTGGGCATGAAATGATGAGATTGATGGTACACTCTCACGAGAACACGATGACAGACTCACAAGCCAACTCATCCAAAGGCAGGTTTAGAAAAACCTATTTATTATTCATGCGCTCTAAATCTGTACTGCTGTGCGTATGTGTGGGCACACAGACATACACACAAGTACAGATGTACAGGAATATAGCGAGCTATGGTGAGGAAATGACCAGATTGATCAGGGTCGTAGAACAGCGAACCGGGCACCTGTTCGCAACATATAACCGTCTTCTCTCGGTGATACTCCTCCTTCGGTGTCCGGTGAAACCAATTCAAGAATTCAACCTGAACATCTTCTGCTTCGAAATGTAAAGTCGAAACAAAAATGGTTTTTGGTGTAAATCTATAATATGAGATGCATTCCTCCTATTTCGTTCAAGATGATGAAGGACTGGTAGTACAATTTTCCAACAATGACATGAGTAGAGCTTTCGTTTCTGTTGAATTTCACATAGCCATTATTGCCAGAAATGTTAACCACCAAAATGGGGACAAATATGGAGCATACAAAATAGAACATTTTTACTCCAAGCATGTTGGATACGCACCCAGAGCTGGGATGAGTGTTAAGGAAAGACAGGTTGTCATGCTGATATTTAGTCCGAGGGCCAAAAATCCGCTTATCAGCTCCTCGACCGCGGGATAACCGGTTTCGCAGGCGGACTCGTACCTAAGTTTGTGTTAAAAAGGGTTTAAATGCAACAAAAAGATATTTCAAATCAACTGCACTAATTAAGATTAACTGATCGTTTCATATTACTCAAATTATATAAGTAGGCCGCACGTTTTAATTGAATTTCATTTGCCTTTGTTTCCTCATCTTGGCTCGCCTGGCCTATCTTATGTCATATTTTGATAGTGGGATTGTCAATAAGCCAAACGTGTATTTTATATAAAGAAAAGTTGGGCTTCTAAGACTCCCTTTGTGAGCCATTTTAACTCCATTTCCAATTTCGTCGACTGGCCAACTGAACTTTCGTCTGCTGAGGAGCTGGAGCTCACTTTCGCAGCCACGTCATGACAACACCGAATCAAGATCACTCTTGCTTAATGCGTATTCTCAAAAAAAAATGGAATTTGGTTAAATCACTCTAATGTTTGTCTATGCATAGATAGGTTTTGGTGTTTATGTGAGTGTATATTTGTGTCTTTTATTTTGACTCGAATTTCCATTTAGAAGGAAAATTTGTTCTGAAAGAATTCGTGAAATGACTTCAACGGAACTCAAAGGAGGATTACCAATTGTTTAAGTGGATATCGTTGAATCGTGCGAACAAGTGCTCGGCTTATTGTCATAAGACGGCAATGAAACTGAGCTAAGCTCTCGTCTGTACCACCTTGGCAGACAGATATGTCTCTGGAATTGGCTGTAAGAATAATACGCTGTTCTGATGATATTTGGCAAGTTGCACGAAAGACGAAAGCTCAGCACCTTGGCACCGGAACTGAAGGAGTTTGCTTTGAGGACAGCGTCATTCTGGAATGGGCTCATAAAAAACTATACCGCCATCGGTGCCAGATAGTAACGGGCCAGACTCAACCTTAATGGAAAGCTAAATCTCTTCCATTTCACATTTATAGAGAGATTTTAAATAAGGCAAACATGTTGGTTTCCGTTACAATCAAAGACGCTAATTATTTTGTGATGTAAGTAGTGACCATCGGTAATTTTTCAGTATAAATGAACAATTTAAGCTGTGCTGTAAATGTTACGTAATCCGGCCATAACGACTCTAGAGGATGATATAGAACTGGGATTTTAAATTAGACAAACATGTTGAGTTCCCTTACAATAAAAGACATTACTTATTTTGTGATGTAAGTAGTGTGCGTGACCATCGGTAATTTTTCAATAAAAATTCATTGTAGACACGAAGAGAAACTGGGTTTCGATGAGTCTCCTAATGAATGTTCCCCCAAAAATATAAATTTATTAGCCCAACTCGCTAAAGGTTATTTAGAGTATAAAAGGTAAATTTTCCCACAATCAGACGTCGATTGCAGTGGAAAACACATGATTGCTATCCCAATATGAAAAAATGTGCAGGTTCGAAACCCGTTTTAGGTGGTTATAATTTTGTAAGTTCACTACAAAGATGTAGGGCTAAGTAAAAACGAGTATTCTAAAGGTGAGGAAACTGAGTTGTCATCCGTTAAACTTGCTAAACGACCTAGGCTTAAAAATCACATATTTAAGTATAGACAATTGCATCGGAAACTACTCATATCCAA